GTTTCTAGCAAATATGTTCATTCATTCGTTCATTTATTTACAGTTCTACAAAATCCATGGAGGCATCTGCCTCAGATATAGCACAAGTCAGCAATACACTATAACATATGAATATACATACATAATCAGATAGTCATCATCGTCAGAATTTTGAATACTCAATACAACAAGATTACTCAGATAGACTTGAAAGGATTCTGACGATGGTGTATACTGTACTTCTTTTGGCTTATGTTGGACTCCACCCATCGTCTGGTATGTAAAAGAGAAAAGACCACGACATTTCAGAGACTGGATCTGTCTCCGTCTTCAGGTAGATAGGGAAGGATAAACCTACTCAGTTGAGCCCGCTAGAAAGAGCTAGTCTCAATCAGACCAGGGTTTGTCCAGTGATTGAGACTAGCTCTTTCTAGTGGGCCCAACTGAGTAGGTTTATCCTTCCCTATCCACCTGAAGACTGAGACAGATCCAGTCTCCGAAACGTCGTGGTCTTTTGTCTTTTACATACCAGACGATGGGTGGAGTCCAAAATAAGCCAAAAGAAGTACAACAAGATTACTGTACAACAATACATTCCATATATCAAAATAACATATAAAATTACATACATGATCAAGAGACCACCAAGACTCTTAATATAGTCATATAAAATCTAATTTCTTAACATATAATACACCTATATCACAACGGNTATAACATATGAATATACATACATAATCAGATAGTCATCATCGTCAGAATTTTGAATACTCAATACAACAAGATTACTCAGATAGACTTGAAAGGATTCTGACGATGGTGTATACTGTACTTCTTTTGGCTTATGTTGGACTCCACCCATCGTCTGGTATGTAAAAGAGAAAAGACCACGACATTTCAGAGACTGGATCTGTCTCCGTCTTCAGGTAGATAGGGAAGGATAAACCTACTCAGTTGAGCCCGCTAGAAAGAGCTAGTCTCAATCAGACCAGGGTTTGTCCAGTGATTGAGACTAGCTCTTTCTAGTGGGCCCAACTGAGTAGGTTTATCCTTCCCTATCCACCTGAAGACTGAGACAGATCCAGTCTCCGAAACGTCGTGGTCTTTTGTCTTTTACATACCAGACGATGGGTGGAGTCCAAAATAAGCCAAAAGAAGTACAACAAGATTACTGTACAACAATACATTCCATATATCAAAATAACATATAAAATTACATACATGATCAAGAGACCACCAAGACTCTTAATATAGTCATATAAAATCTAATTTCTTAACATATAATACACCTATATCACAACGGTAGTACCTTTTTCCTGTGTATTTTATTCCATAGTCCGTTGCATCCTAGCAATAGGCAACTGTGTTTATTTAAATATACTTGAGGGATCAATCTTTATTCCAGCAGTAGTACTCTTCAACAGTGTAAAAGGAATTTGTGATACGAAACTTCTTTAACTCCACTTTAAATCCAGGGATGTCATAAGATAATTGTTTAAGCTCTGGAGGGAGGTGGTTATAAAGTTTGATACCAGAATACCATCCACCTTTCTGAAATATCGTTAAGTTTACCAGCTGAAGCTGCAAGTCATGATTAAATCTGGTATTATGGGTGTGGACATCAGGGTTTGTTATATAGCAATCTCTATTCTTGACAACCAGCATAAGTAAGGAAAATACAAGTATATATTGTGATTGAAGTGGCAGTATATGTAACTCCTTAAATAAAGTATGGCACAAGTCCACATTATGAGAATTGGTAGTAATTCTTATTATTCTTTTCTGTATTTGAAATATGATTTTTGCATGGGCTGAACTCCCCCAGAATATTATACCATAAGATATTGAATGAACTAGGGAGAAATAAACAGTTTTTAGGCACTCGAAGGATAAAAGAGGTTTTAATACTCTAATTGCGTAGGATGCCTTCTTTAGTCTGGGTATCATTTGGTCAATATGGGTTTGCCGTGACAATTTATGATCAGTAACCAAACCTAAAAATTTTGTAACATTCACATTGGTTATTTGTTTTTATCCACATATTATACCTAAATCAAGAGCTCTTGTGTTTTTAGTTACAAATTGTAGAAAATAAGTTTTTGTAACATTTAGTAGTAATAAATTACTACTAAACCATTTATTTAATTTTTCTAAAAGTACGTATATTTATATCTTTTTCAAATATTGGGGTATCAGGATTAGTAATTATTAGACTTGTATCATCCGCAAACAAGACTGGATTGGATAAATCAGATATGGCATTAGGCAAATCATTGACATATAGAAGGAAAAGCAGGGGACCAAGTATGGATCCTTGAGGGACTCCAACGATAACAGGCTCCCATAGGGTAGAATTTAATTGAGTCAGAAACAACTATTACTCTCTGGTGTCTATCTAATAGATAGGATTTAATTACATCGTTAGCTCTTCCCTTAATCCTGTAATGTTCCAACTTTGAAAGCAGAATATCATAGTTGACACAATCAAAGGCCTTGTGAAGATCACAAGTTGTTATCAAAGAAAATCAAATATTTTTCAGTATATTACTTGAATCTACCAGGTAAGGCTCAGTATAATGCCATTTATTTTGCTTACAAATGTATAAGGACTTCAAGAATAATGCAAGTGCAAATTTTACTAGAACTTTCATCCTCATACTGTTCTTATTCAGCTGCAGAATAGTAGTTGAGAGATTTGTTAAATTATCTTGAACTCTTTCTTTTCTCATATTTTTATGTCTTCTTTTTTCCCCCCCTCCAACTTTCCTACCTTCCTGTGGATCATCAAACAACCAAGTCCTTCTCCGTACATATCTCTGTCGTTCCAAAGCCCATCCTACTATTCTTTTTTATTCTCCATATGTATTGTTACCCCTTCGTTGGTGTCTCCACCTTATCGTGGTGAGGGGGTTTGAGTATGCCATCTGACAGATTACTGATGAATGAATGAATGTATTGTTACACTCTGTAGTGTAAAATACTTGACAGTGATTACAGAATACCAAGTTTGTACCTGTTACTTTACTTTAAACAAGACCATAGCATGAAGTGAATTAGAATTCTGGGTATTACATTCATTGGAAATGTACAGTGGCACTTAGTTAATAGCTGTATTTTGCAGCACTTGTTTCAAAGTTTTAAAGCAGCAGTACAGAATTGTTTCAAGTGCCTGCATATTTAGTTTAATGTTACTGAAATTAATTATAATTTCTGTGGAATTATCTTCTTCATGTGATATATGATTCATGTGAGATCTTAACAGTTGTTCTTCAAGCTAATTTGTGGACAGATATCCTGTCACTAGAGTACATCTGTTCCATGTTGAGTGGCAGTGAACAAATTTGTCTGGGTTTTACAGTTTTCCTTTATATATATTTCACCTTTAATTTGAGCCTTCATTACTACTACTAATATCCATTGCTAATGTTGCCCATTATTTGGTGTAAGAATCATAATAATCGCCAGATATGAACACTGATAAAAATTTGGTAAGCCTGCAGATATAATAATATAAAATAGTTTGAACTGTTGAATAGACAAATCCATGATAATGTTACTGCTGCTGCTGATGTTATTGGTAATGATAATGGCTTGAATGGTTTTATTTTTAACGGTGGTGTACATGGTTGATGGCAGCTGAACTGAACTTTAAGTTAAAATTTCCTTAGCTGTCTACATTCTGTTCACATGAATTTGATGTGTTTTCTTACAGGAGGGAGTGGAGGCTATGACATATCGTCTCTGCTCTCTGCTCTCTCTTCTCGCATCAATACAAAGGTCCAAGGTTGGATAGTCTGATGTGTGTGTGTGTGAGGTTGTGTTTAACTAACCATATTAATAGCCTTCAGAGGCATGTGTTTTCATTCCTTAACCCTTTCAGTGCAGAAATTGTGATGTGATGTTTAGAAATGCTACACTATTCATTTCTGGTTTGAATTTTTTTATTTGTGTCAAACTAACACGAGTTATCACTTTCAAAAGTAACAGAATGAATTAACTAAGTAAAACTAACTTCATGGAGCTGAGCCCTTCCTTCAGAAGCCGCCAGTTATGCAGCCACTCAAGAACTTCCCAGCGTTTTATGGAACCCAAAGGTTCAGTAATGTTTTCATAAGAGCCCTCCCCTGGTCCCTTTCCTGAGCCAGATCAATCCAGTCCATACAATATGCATTCCTCATCTCCCCCAATCGTGGTACATGCCCTGCCCATCTCATCCTCCTTGACTTAATCATCCAACAGAATATTGCTATGGTAATATGCACATGCAAAAGTTGTACTTAATAAAAAAAATTTTGCATGAAAACTGACCAGCCAGCTCCATGTACAAGATTTGACTTTGAGAAGGCGAGAAGGCTCAGCTTGTCAAGCAGTTCCCAGTCTTCTATGTTACCTGAAGGTTTGTAACTGTTCCTAACAGCCTGCCACTGGGCCCTGCACAGAGCTTGTTGAATCGAGTCCCTCATATCCTCTCCTTAAGATCCATTTTTAGCCAAATTTCCTTATTTTGAAAAAATTAAGGTAGGCATATGAGATCACCTTGCTGTCTGTGTGTCCCCTGTCTTAACAACTTTGAATGCCTGCTCAAGATGAGCAGCCCTAAGGAGGGAGCAGTGTCATTTGTGTGGGTGATTATGCAGATCACATGCATGCCCCCTCAGAAGAGAAGAAATGATGGTACACCTGTAGACTACTTGGAACAAGCAGTCTTAAGGAGGGAGCAATGTGACATGATGCCTGAAAGCCAGAGCTAAACAGATGGCCGTTGCTAGGCAACGTCTCAGTAATCACACTCCTGTGGCAACGAAGACGCGCGTGCGCCCACATACACATACACACACAATTTGTAGCGAAAAGAAAGTACGTGATTGGTTCTCTCCAGAATGTCTTGTAATATTATCCTTCCATATATCCCCATGTCTTCCAAATGGTCTTCTCTATTCTGGTTGCCTGACTAATATTTTGTATGCATTTCTCATCTCTCCTGTGTTAGTTACATGTCCCACCAATTTCATCCTCCCAGGTTTGAGCACCATAAAAATATGTGATGTGGAGTACAAATTATGAATGTAAGATTTGAGGTTTTCACACCAATGACTATGAAGAAAGCAGTCTTCTGGGATGTGGTGCTGTGTAGATATTGTGTTAACCGACGTTTCAGACGAATGTATAGCCTCCATCTTCAGGGTAGAAGAAAAAAGAAGAAAATCCACGAACGAGGAACCAGTGTGAGCAGGTGCTAACAGACTAGTTCCTCCAAAACGTCAGTTAACACATTATCTACATGGCACCACATCCCAGATGACTGCTTTCTTCAGAAATTGTGAAGTTCCTCATATGCAGTTTTCTTCACTGTCATGTTGATTGGTCTAGAAGTAAATATAGAGAAAACTGAAGTATATGTTGATGCATCACCAGACTGGAGGACATAATCATAACACAGAGATAACAAACAGTTCCTTCAAAAATATGACTGGTGATCAAATATTTTGGAACAATTCATAATTTTATTTACATCCATAACTGTAAAATATACAATCGGACAGTAACAAATCAAATTTGTTCCATGAGGAAACTAAGAGCAGATTAATGTCAGGTCATTCTTGCCACTATTCACCTCAGAATCTTTTATTTTCTCACCTGCTGTCACAAAGAAAAACAAAGAACATAATTGTAATTTTGCCTTCGGTTTTGTACGAGTTTGAAACTTGGTCTCACATTAAAGGCATAGCGTAGACTGAGGATGTCTGAGAATGGGGTGCTGAATGGATTTTTTTGATCTAGGAAAGTTGAAATAATAGGAGGTGGGAGATGGATGCATGGTGGGAACTTCGTAACTTGTACTTCTCACCAGATGATGTTGGGGTGATTGTGTCAAGAATGGGCTGAGTGGGGCAAATAGCGCATGAAACAGGAGTGCATATGAGGATTTAGTAAGGGAACCTGAAGGAGGGAATCCACAAGGGAGACCTGGATGTAGATGGAAGAATAATATTAAAGTGTATCTTAGTGAAACTGTGCTAGGATAGGGACCATTGGCAGACTCCTGTGAACACCAGGTTACATAGAATGCTGGGAATTTCTTGAATGCATGAGCAGTTGTTGACTCCTCAAGAAGGACTGCATGCATGATGTTAGCTGAATATTTTAGTAATGCCCCTGAAATGCGTTTTTGTATATTGTAATAGGAGGAGAAAAAAGTTTTAAATGAGTCTTAGGTTTATTAATTTTTTAACGTGGTGTAGTCACAAATTTTCTCTGCAGGCATTTGAGCTACCCTGATTTGTCATAAAATCCTTAAAATGCAGTCTTCTTCAGAATAATTTCCATTTAACATAATACCTTTTTTCCTCCATAGCTAGAATTGCCAGAAATAGACCTTGGGTTTTCTTGGAATTACTGTGATTTTGTACTTTGCCCATCTTCCAGTGTTTTGGAGAAGGCAATTTTTGGAAACTGGACCTCTTTCTGTCCTTGGGTGATGGGTTTAAGGACATCTGCTCTGTTTAGTCGATTAGGGAAGCTAACCTTAATAACTGAACAATGTATGTTGTACTACAGATCTCATCTGTTTCCCTTTTCCATCTTCCAGTTCTCTTTCTTCCTAGCATTCACCATATTACATGTGTGAAAACTGTCTTCAGGTGAGAGGTGATCAATAAATGGTTCTGCATGAACAGAATATCACTTTGTAATACTTTGAGAAGAATGGAAGCAAAAGGTAGTAGGTTGTGGCTACTTTAGGTAAAGATACAATCCTGGAATTTATTTCTTACAGGCAATAAAATTGTGGAAACTCTTTCTGAGGATAGTTAACACCAGATTCTGCTTGCATGCAAGATCTCATGAAGACATGTCTTCATAATTATTTCTAAGAGATAGTTTATAATCCTCCCCCCTCCCACAGAGTAACTGTGGAATTTATTTTCATGTAGAATAATATAATTTTGGAAACTGCAGTTTTTTCTATACACGGATTGTGTATCTGCAACAACATCCAGGTTGAACTTTTCTGTTTTAACTATGCCATTCAGCCTTATATTGGAGAGAGACTTTATTCAGCTTTCAGTGTTCATATTATTTGAAAAAGTGGAGAGCATTAATGTAATACTACATTTTATGAACTCTCTTATCTGTGAAGTATGACAAATAATGATTAATAATTACATTATTAAACTTTATTGCACAGAGTTTTAATGATTGTGAGTAGTAGGATTTAAATTCAGGAGGTACCAATTTTTCACACTTAGTAAAGGTTAGAGGTGAAGTTGTCCTCAACCATGAAGATGTATGGGCAATTGATGAAAGTCCACCATTTTTTACTTTGGCACCGGATTGAGATGAGTGGCCTGCTTCATACACCCCTACCAATGTGTACCCGGGGGGGGGGTAGAGCCTGTGACACCCATTGGATAGTTGGCTCGCTGGGCCCCAGAGCCAGTGTGGGCATTGTTAACTATTCCAGCAAACACTGTAAAAGGAAATGAAAGATTTATCTTATGCCCAATACATTTATTTTTGCAAAGTGTTTTTTGTGGGATAATTAAACAAAAATAAGGAAACATGCCAGAATTGTAATGTCATGCATACTTTTTCTAACTTGTTTTATTGACACTTGCTATGTGTATTGGCAGCCAGAATTTTGCACTGGATAATTATTGGGCATGTACCATTAATGTCTAAAATTTCAAAGTTTTGGTTTGGCTTGAGTGAGTCAATTACTAGTGTATGACAGATGGCCTTGATGCACCAGTAACACGTGTACTTACTTTTAAATCTGTAATTAAAAGTCAGCATGTTTATATATGTTTTGTTTGTGCTCGCAGAATGTGTGGGCCTTTGAAAAATGTTTAAATAATGTACTGTGTAACACAGCTGATGCTTCTTAACTTAAATGTAGTGTCTCGAACCAATGAAGAGGTAGTCTGTTTGATTTTAAATTGGCATTTCACTAATACTGAAGAGAAATCCTGTGGAATAATTATTATATTACATTGACTTTAATATGAATATTGACAGATTTTTGTACAAAGAATGAAGATCATTACATTGAACATTCCAAGAATCTCTTAATATCAAGAAGACAGTTTGGAGATATTTTAGGCAGTAACAACAGTAATACCGTTTGATGTACAGCACTACCAAGATTAGCGCTCATGTTTTCTTGGGTTGTGGTACTGTAGTCTTTTGGCTGAAGGTTGGTGTTTTCAAGGGGCGTGATGCCCTCATATTCACACTAGAAGGGTCATCAAACGCTGAAGGTGGAGGTAGCAGGTTCCTTAAAAAAATTATCTACCTGCAGTATTACAAAGCTCTTGTCACAAATCATAGGACCAGAGTCTGAACACTCACTATCATGAAAGTCTTAAATCTCATATTTTTGGCATTCATTGTGAATTCATGAGCTTTATGAGATACATAGATTTGAGAAAAATATGAAATTTCAAATATGATAATTTAGGAGAACTGAAGTATAGTGACTACATTCAATACTTTGATTTTATAACAAACTGAGGTATTGTAATATGTGTGATTTGTTCATGGTGACTTCATTATAAACATGTTTAGGTAGTATTTACAGTCTTCAAACTCATAATGCCTAAACCTTTGGAATGTGAAATGCACCAGCCATTATCAAGTGTATTAATACTTATTTATTGTTAACAGGAGCAGATGGTTTGTGTGGCCGGCTAACAGAGAAGATAAATTCTAGCCATGGACCCAAACTGGTACTAGCTCATATGCCTCTCCTTATGGTGTGCCTAGAGGTAAGTGTGTATATTTTATGAATTAATAAATAGACTTTTAACTGGAATTTTAGTGTTAGTAGAATTTAATTTTCCAGAGCAGAGGTTTTCATACTTCTCTGGGAATGCAATGCTTTTTATCATGCAGATTATCATCGTATCACCAGTCATATGTCCTCAGAAATGATTTATATGAAAGTGTTGTAAGTTAGATTAGGTTAGGTTATAGTCACTAAAGTGAGGGCTTTTAATATTGGACAAAATGAGGGTTTAATTATGTAGTGGGAACTAGGGAAACATTTATGTATACATTAAATTTTATATAAAAATAATACAGAGTGGCGCATGAAATGATCCAATATTTGATCTACTAATAAAATCTTTATTTCAATTGCAATACTAGAAACAAACATACAAAAAGAAAGATCAGTGCATGGAGATTTATCCCTTGTGAATGAAGTGTTCAACATGACCACCATTACATCTGGCAGCTTCTTCAACACAAATTGTGACGTTGATTACTCGACAGCACACATCCTCAGTTTTGTCGTTGCAGGCCTGAATGAATAGTACTCTGAATTTCATTATTGTTTGCTGCTTTTTCAGAAAAATCCTTTCCTTAAGGAATCCCCAAAGGAAGTAGTCACATGGGTTTAAATCAGGACTACTTGGGGGCTAGTTCTGTCTATGTGCAAAACGATTAAGAAATCGGTTTCAGGTGACATGTCAGTCAAAAGTATCATGGGGAAAGCCTAAAACAACATTCGCTATGTGCGGTGTGGCTCCATCCTGTGTGAACCACTGAGTTTGTACTGGCATACCTGTAGCAAGAAGGTGAGGCACAAAAGTATTGCGCAGCATGCTTAAATAGTGCTCACTGTTCACTGTCTCTTCAAAGAAAATTGGCCATAGGAGTCCATAACTGTAGATGGTGACCCACACTCTTAATTCCCAGTGCATGATGCACCTTCTCATAAATCACACATGGATTCTCCGATGCCCAAAATTGCACATTTTATTTATTTACCACACCATCCAAGTGGAAGTGTGCCTCATCAAAAAACCAAACATTGTTGAATGATACCTCATTTTCTGAACCCATTCAGCAAATGTCATTCTTTGATGTTTATTTTGAACTCTTAGTTTAGGCAACACTATCATTTTGTTTGGATACAAATTGAAACCACTTTTCAATATTCGTTGCATCGATCGCCTTGATATCCCTAGTTGTACTGTAGCCTTCCTTGTTGATTTACTGGTGCTTCTTTGTGCCATTCTGACAACACCAGCAACGTTTCCCCTCCAATACTGAACTATCATTATTAAGCTGGTTATAAAGTTCATGAATTGTTTCAAATGAAGGTGCCATATTTGAAAATTGGCACAAAACCGCCTCTATATGACCACAACACTTCTTGTTTCAATAGAGAACAGCACTGTTTTTATGTGTTGTTCTACAGAGAGTCTTCCTTTGTCAGCCATCATGTGTAAACTGATGCATGAGAAGGAACATCATGACACTAGTGTGCTCGGAAAGAGTAAGAACTAATCTCCATGATCTACTGTAAGTGTTAACATGTTACAACACCTTGTTCGTTGCATGGATGAATAATTAATAGGAAAGAGAAGGTAAAGCTATCCCTGTCACAGTCCATGAAGGCCCTTAGTGTTGTTGGACGTCGAGGCTCCCACATCTTCTAGACAGTTGGCTCACAGATGGTGGTAAGGTCAGCCATACTTGCCAGCCACCCTTTACCCCCAAGAAAATTCCTGGTACTCATTTCTGCTAGAGGCTGAGTCGACCTCAGGGCCATAGTGTGGCTGGAAAAATTGAAAAATCCAGGGACCTCTTTGGGACTTGAACCCGTAACCTTCAAGCTTGGAGCATAGTGCCTCAGCCAACTACGCTACTGCATGCCCCCCTTGAAAAATTAATACTAAATCAAATACTATATTATTTTGTGCGCCACCTTATGCACTGACACCTCACTAATTTGGAATTTGCGATAATTCATACGCCTAATTCTTTTGCGCAATACAACCTCCAGTAGCTGGAGTGAAATTAAAACAAAATGCATGGAACAAACTTACTAGCAATGAAGAACTGGAGTTTGATCATGAAGGCACAGAAGAAAAATTTTGTGGAGCATTTCAAGCCAACCCGGGTGATGTTTGTGACTGGCTTGATAAAGGCAAGGAGGACTTCAGATACCAAAATCTCACTGAAGAAGTTGCACAGGAAGCTACAGGGGATGGTTTGAGTGAAGATGATGAGGAAGATGAGAAGAAAGAAGCAATATGGGAAAATTTCGAATTTTCAAAATGAAACAAAACTTAGACCCCATCATCAGTTTTGTGGACTCTAACCCACAGCACAACAAATTAATATTAATATAATGCAGAGGAAAGTGAGGCAAGATGTAGTAAGAGAACGGTACAAAAGAGGAACACAAACTGAAATAAGTTCAATTTTTAGCACTGGTCTTCAATATGTTAGTACAAATACTATGATAGTTCCTTTACATCAGGCATACATATTTACATTTCGTCAATTCCTTTCATCCAATTTGATCCTAAGTCATCTCTTTAGTTGAACAATATTGTTAAATAGTGTAAGGATCAATCAACTGTGCAAATGATTTCTGATATTGTCAACAAAAGTGTCTATTGCAAGTGAATCCCTTGTCATCGCAGCTTGGTTCATCAGATTATGTATGGAGGAGATGGTTTCCAGTTGTGGAAGGTTGTTGTGATTATGAATACATTGAATAAGCAGGCATGGACAGCAGAAAGTGAGTGGCCCTTCAGCTTGGGTGTTGGAATGGTGTGAATAATTCTTCACCATAAAAGAAAAACAGCATTTCACTAATGTTTTACAGTGTCACAGCTTTGCAGCCTCTTATGAACATGGTAACGAACTTTTGGGTTCCATAGAAGTGGGAAGCTTGTAGACAGACTGAGCAACCTTTAGCTTCTCCTGAAGAACTCTTGTTTCATACAGTTAGTTGTACAAAAAGTAAGTTATTGACTAAAAGCATTTACAAGAAAATGTTTGCATGGAAATTCTAAGCTGTGTGTTTGTTTTGGTTTCTTGACATCTTCTAAATTGTTTGATTCTGATTATTATTTTGAAATACAGGGTCTAGGGAAATTAGCTGAGAAGTTTCCCAATATTGCAAGCGCCTCCATCTACTGTCTGAGAGACTTTTTGATTACTCCCAGTCCAATCTTATTCAAACTACACCGTCAGCAATGTGAAAGTGCAAGCAAAGATGGTCAGAAATTGAAAATTACAGGTATGCTATGTATTTACTAGTCATCTTGTTGTATTTAAAGGTATGAAAAGAATTGTAAAGTCATCGAACATAATGCATTGTTTTCCAAAAGAAATACGCCCACTGAAACCATAATGGCCACCTCTTTTAACAATTTCTTTAATGTAATTTACTTCCATTGTTGTAACTATTTCTGAGTGCACTGTTTGTTGAAAGAATCTTGGGTAAATTTTAGCCCAGCAGTAATATGGTGGAAATGACAGAATAACAGGGAAGTTCTTGAAAGAACTGATTGCCTAATTTCTTTGATATGACATGGGCCACAAAGGAAATGATGCGTCCAACAATTCTCCTATTCTTGCATGTGTATTCATTGCTGCAGTAACATTTTTACCGAGCCATTGCTTAGCAACAATAAGGGGATATATATTGTCACGTGTAGGATTGACTTTAAACATAGGTTTGGATCATTGGGTTGATTTATTGGATAGTCACCTGTCAGAACTACATTTAATTATAACACTTTCAATCTTACTGTAACTATAGCACTTTGTAACTACGAACAATAATAACGCTCTAAAGGTCACTGTAACTACACTGCATAAAATAAAGACTTCACTTCTGACTTCTTCTTCTTTTCAATTTCTGTCTCGGACTTCTAGGCATAACGGTTATGTTGCTGTGATGGCAGACACCACCTCAAAGGGTGTCACTTTGCATATTCCTCTTTTAAGAAGTCATTACTGTGCAATCTCCAATTCGTTACTCTTGTGAAACAGTGAACCATAGTAACTAGAACCATTGTGTAGCAATGGACGTCTATTCTTGAACACTACCTGTTTGTTTCTTAGAAGTGGAATGATCTGTCACAATGTACAGACACACAGACTGATAGGAAGGATTTATGAAGTGTGCCATTGAGATCAACTCAGATACCATAATGCCATACATACTAAGTTCCATAAAGATTAGTTCTGGAATTCAAAAGTTGATACTAAGGGGATTTACAGACACGCAGAGAGCATGATGATCTCATAAGCCTACTTTTATTTTTGCAGAGTAAGGAAAGTAGGCTAAAAATGGGCAATCCCAAGGTTCTGTGATATTGTAGTGATTGTGAGTGTTTATTCAAAACAGGTGCAGTGATGAAGTCATGTAATTGACTACAACCTGGTAGCTTCCCATTTCTTTTTCTTTTTGTTGTTTTAGGAACTTCATAATTTGTTCTTCTCACCAAACTTGGTCAAGATGATCAAATCGAAGAGGACGAAATGATTTGTGCATGTAGCATGCATGGAAAAAATCAGAAATTTTTACAAAATTTTGGGCAGAATACAGTAGAGCTGCTGAATGAATTTTCTTGAAATTTGATACTTTAGAGTTCGTCTAAAATTTCTTGTCATATTTTAGTTTTGGTTAAATTCTGACAGCAATAGTGGACGCTTTTCATGAAGGTCTACTTGTGTTTCTTCATGATGCATCTTGAGTTAAACTGGCTAAATATGTACTGAAGTAAGACATGTTTTGAGCAAAAACTGTTTAAAAAAATGAAATACATTTTTTGCCCAGTATACCTTTTTCATAAGTATTAAAGTTTTTTGAGATAAACAAAGATGAATACATAGAATTATTATGCTGTATACATGTCCTTACTAGTTATTTTATGTAGAGTTTCTTTTTTCAAAAAGAGGGTCTATTAACCGTTCAGCGTGGTTTGACGTGTATGTTTCGTCAAGGTATTTAAATCGTCTGCGGGGGTTCGACGTCAGTGTTTCATCCAGCTGCACACCTATGTTATAACGCCCATAATAATTGATGGTTTTGCTGTAGATTGTTAGATTTTTCGCTGTCCTGTTGTCAGGAGAACTATATTTAATGAGACACGAGTTTAAGAGCGCTAAGTCATCGTTACATATGCCTGTCTTGCAGCAAATTCCTGTTGCTTCTGGTAGAAGTTTCCTCCTTCAAGCTGTTATGAACGGTGTGTGTTGTGGCCTAAAGGCCGACTCCCGGTAATATGTTAACATAGTATTAATTTTTTTGTATTTTAGGGGAAAATATTTGTTAGGATAGATTTGGTTTTGAGAAATATTTGTAAGAGGTACGAAAGCGGATGTAAGAAGGTTAAACAACTTAAAGGAATTTCTGCGTATGGATTTAGACGGACATTGGCTTGCCACGAGGGAATGCCCAGTCAGCAGAATGACGTTGAATGTATATCGAACTGCTAACTACAGAATTTACACTTGTGTGATGGGGGGACATTTGGAGGTAAAAGTGTCAGCCAAACGGTTTAGCAGTAGAAGGGGGTGTGTCCCCTTAGGATCCCAGCCAACGAGATCACCCACCTTGGGATAAGACGTCACTGGAGGCGGACTTACACCCTCCGGGAAAATAATGAGTAAGCATACATAGGGGTATATAACCCAGAGACCAAATTAGGAAGGGATTATTCTAACAGTAATTTTGGCCATTTGCGGCCGTAGGCTCTGTCCAAATGGACACCGACTCGACTCCCGGCAACGCCATCCGTCTGCAGACTCAACGCAAAGTAAGTGGAAACTACTCTTATCGCCATGC